TGCTTCCTATCAGATATGTGAATTGATCAATCAAATGTTGCTCTTAAGATGTCTTTCTGTTGAACAACTCACTTTGAGTACCAAGTAGAACTGTGTGAATCCAACACTTCTTACTTAACAGGAAACGCTGGATTTACCCATAATGACTATAGTGCTGTATATGACTGTTTGGTCTCATACTATGTAGTTAAAGCCGTAACTCGTATATATCATCTACTTGGCCATTGATTAACATTGCTGTCATTGACCTTCTTGCTACGTTGTAGCAATATGACGTCAGTAGTACAAATATTATCTAATACAGAACTACAAAGAAATAAAGGTAACTAAACGAAAATAACTCAATAGTTTTCTGGACTACATATTTATGTGAATACTATAAAGAATCCAATTAACCTTCTCAAAGTGTGCATGTCATGGCATTTTGTTTGTTTATGACCGTTTACAGAGTTACATTTAAAATGTATTTAAACTACTTTGTTATCAATGTATACCAATAAACTTGGCATTTTACGCATATAATAAATCAAATTTGAATATTGTATAAGTATTAATTCTATAAGAAAATATTTAAATAAATCCTTAATTCCCCCCTGTATGGAAATCTTGGGATTTGTTCGCTATGTCTTCCCCCTTTGCTAAATTATTTACTACTGTTCTCTGAAATACGGAATTTAACGTAAATTACTCAGTATAATATTAATATTACTAAGGCGAAGTCTAAATTTTATAGCCTTCAATCTTTTTTATTTATGGAATATAAAATGGAAAATCAGACCCACTTGACACATCTTGTCTTTAAAAATTCACCAATAATTCTCTCTGACGTTTTGCATTATATCATTTATAACAAATAGAGAGACAAAGGTTTAATCTATCGAATAACGTTTAATGCTACATTGTTTTCAGTAGAGAATATTGTCAGTTTAGTCTTCAGTTTGAAAGTTTATCTCGCAGTGTTCATGTCGAGCAGATGAATAAATTAACATGGTAATTCAACTTGCTATAAAATTAATAGTAACTAAGATGTAAGATTAAAAATGTATAAGGTTAAACAAAATTATATTTGGTAAGATAATGAAAAATTATAAATATTGTTGCGTCAGCGAGGTTACGTGACTAGTATCACGCCAT